GAAAGGATACAAAGATGCAGTATATATACAATATACACATTCAGTGCTCTTTTCCCCCCTTAAAAAATGTTTAGGGGTACTCTCATTTTGACTCAAGAAAATCACCATTTTAGAGTTCAAATTGGGAAAAATAAATACAGTAAATGGACAAAAGTACAAAGATTCACAAAATGTTTAGGGGTATACGTCCCCCTGCATCCCCCCAGAAAAAAAGCACTGTACATATTTGTGTGTGTGTGTGTGTGTGTGTGTGCATTACTGCAATAAAGTTGCTGTGAATCGTAAAAAGTTATTTGCGTGTTCAGACCTTTAAACCTCCCCCTTAAATAAATCCAGACAAGACTCAGATCTTGGTTTGGTTTTTGGCAAAATTTAGGCCACAACTTTATTGATTACAGCAAGTGAGTGGTTGCATATGCTCTGGTTCGACTAGCTCCCTGCACTGTTGCAGGTAGCGCTCACCCAGGGCACCAGCATAGGTCAGCCTAGGGTGAACACCTGGATAAGCGGAAAGCTGGGAACAGGCTATCTCTGCCACCCAAATGCCCCCCTGGACTCAGGCACGGGCACAACCCCCTCACAGGGTTGATCACACCATTGAGTCCCTGGATTCCTTTAACGGAATACCCTTCACATAGGGATGGCAAGAGTGTTCTCCCATCCCTATCACCTGAACCAGAGCCTATCTGCAACCTTACAAGTTGTGAAAATTTGCTACACGGCAGGTGAAACCAAAATGGCACCAGCCAATCAAGTGGGGAAAATTCCTGCCATGCCCCTGTCCCAACGACAGACAACACATGACGGCATAGCAAGGTCAAGCGCACAGCCCTAAAAGTAGGGAGAAGTGGGCGGGTGTTCCGAATGCACGCGCTGAAGGAGGAAGCTCTGGGTCACGTGCATAAATAGGTCCCTTGATCCATTTAGGCTGTGTCCCATTGGCCTGATCAAGCCCTGCATAAAGGGACCTACCAATCGGGTATTGTGGCTATCCAGTCGTACCCACCCACCCACCCACAACACAGGGTTTGGTTGCCAGGTCTCACCAATTTCCCTGGGAGCTTACTGGCAAACAGGGGCTGGCTTGCCTCTCAATGTTAATTTTTGGAGGTTCACGCTCAGCCTCAGTAATCAAGTTTCTTGCTGGGAGGTGGGGCCAGCCCCATTTATAAATAGGGGATGGAGCTGACAACAGCCAGGCAGTCGGCTCTGGAGAGTCACCCACCCTACCCTCCCTTTGTTTAATGTTTCTTGTTTGCAGGTTAACTTTTTCTTCCTGTTTAGCAGGCGCTGCTACGGTCTTTGACTGGTTGGTTGCTGTTGAAGGACCGGGAAGAAATTTTCCTGCAGTAGCAGGTTTTGTCTTCCCTGTAGCAATTCGTCACAACTTTGGCGGTTATGGCCTTGGGTGGAATCCTTTAGTCCTTTCTTCCCTATATGGGGGGAGGGGGCGTGAAGTGGTGACTCACCCCCATGCGGCAGCGATTCCAGGGTCCCCCTCTTAAAGGGGTTATATATATGGATGTCACTGGCCATACACTGAAAGGTTGTCAGTGAACTACCCTGCGTGCGGGGATATGGGCTGGGCTGCCTGCTACACTTACATCTCACAGAGCACCCCCATATCCCATTTACCCTGATGAGCCCCAGTTCCCCCCGGCTGGGGGGCTGGGAGGGATACACACCCAAGGCCTAAGCCAAGGTCTTCCTACATTCGGAAGTTTAATAAAGTTGTGGCCTAATTATAATTCCATATACAGTAATGGTGTCAGAGTCTTTATTCCTTCCTTATGATCCCTGGGGGCTAGGGCTATCACCGCCTGGTCACGCAATATTGAATCACCGGTGAAGAGAAGACATAATAAACACAAAACAAAGGGGCGGAAAACTTCAGCCTTGAAGGCCAAATGTGGCCACTTGGGTCTCTCTGTAGGCCACGCTTCTAACAGGCTGTGCCTTGCTTTCTCTTTGAATGATAAGTGCCTCTTGCTTGCCCAGATAGAGGACAGAGAGGTGTGTCAGTGTATGTAGAAACAAGACAGGTAGAATTTACATATGTTGCTTGAATCCTGAAGCATTCAATATCCTTTGCACCGCCCCTCATTTTGCAGCAATAAAGAGATGGCTGCTCAGAGGCTGGAGAACATCTGCTCAGTGACAGCGGCTGCACTTCTCGGGCTGCTCTTACCTGCAGAGCTAAAAGAAGGTCGAGCAAGGTAAGCCACACATTTTCTAGTCATGTTAAAACCTCAGCAATCTTCATCACACGTTCAGTGAAAAGAGCAGGCCTGTCTTCCAACTAGCTGCAGGGCAAAGGCAGGAAAGGAAGCAATGAGACACTTCTGAAATGAAAAGCAGTTAACTGGAGCAGTCGTGTTGTTGATGGTTTGGCTAGTGGTCCACATGTCTGTAACAATCTGTACTTCCTGCCCTGAGCTTCCTTGCAGGCTGACTTAACCTTTCCCAGCCGTGCGTCACACATTTTCGGAGACTTGGGCAGGAGGAGAAAAACAGCTCACTCAAGATTTGGTCATGGAGAACTGCTTAGGTATGTGTTGTGTAATAGATGTGTCTTGAAACACACATATAGCAGTAGTTCTCCACTGCAGAATTCTTACTTTGTTTTTCTTGGTTCTTTGCACAGGGAATATATATTTTGTTCTATTTTTACCAAATGACTCAGACTAAAAGGACTTTAGGCTACAGCAGCTTATGCCAGATGTTTGGTTCAGGTACATGTAGGGTACAAAAGCCCTAGGAATCAGGCAGCAATTCTTTCTTCACTTCAACTCATCACCTCAGGGATACCTGAGGGAAACAAGGATTTTCCCAAACCTAAGACTGGTCCTACCAGGCCCTGTCCAAGGTGTGGTGGACCAGCAAATGCCCCCTCTCATTTCTCACCAGATGTTAAGAGTGGGTGGGTTTTGGGGTGGGTGGGATCAGAGCAAGCAAGCAATGCAAGGGGAGGGAGCAAGTTTTGTTTTGGAAATGTTCTATGTGATTTAAAAAACTTTCTGATGAGATCGTTGTAAGCTACATTGGGACCTTATGGTAATGGGCAAGTCAGAAATCTTCCAACTAAATGCATAACTAGGCAGGTGAATAAATGGGTGGCGGAAGCGGGCAGGAGAGGGGGACAGAGTGAGCGAATTGGTGGGAAGGGCTGAGCAGGGTGGGGAGGCGAGTGAGTGATTAGGGACAGAGGGAGAGCCAAGGAGATGGAGAGGAGAGGAGAGTGGGGCAGTTGTGGGGGGAGTGAGCAGGGCGACCAAACAAGGTGTAGAGAGAGTGAGCAAACTGATAGATACATCTGGAGGAGAGTTGGCGAGAAAGTAAGATGGGCAGAGGCTGCCACTGATTCTGTGCTCCCCTCCAATCTGCCTTCTGATCCACGAGGCTCACTTTGCCTCGTGACAGAGCTGGCCCTGCAAGAGAACAAATGGCTCAGCAGCTTGTGATGGCCAAATGCAAGCAATTCATTGCAGACATGAAAACTTACACTCCGCACTGTGGACAGAGTGTATACAGCTGAAAGTGTGTTTAAAAATAGTTAACAACCTCCTTAGGTATTCTGTTGGAGTGAAATAGCAAGCTTCTCTGTTTATTAAGTGTTTTCCGGTGGGTAGGAGAGCCAGTGTGGTGTAGTGGTTAAGAGCGGTAGTCACGTAATCTGGGGGACCGGGTTCGCGTCTCCGCTCCTCCACATGCAGCTGCTGGGTGACCTTGGGCCAGTCACACTTCTTTGAAGTCTCTCAGCCCCACTCACCTCACAGAGTGTTTGTTGTGGGGCAGGAAGGGAAAGGAGAATGTTAGCCGCTTTGAGACTCCTTAAAGGGAATGAAAGGCGGGATATCAAATCCAAATTCTTCTTCTCTTCTAGGAATGGATGAATCTGTCAATTTTGGTCCCGTCCCATCCTCCATCTTCAGTTCACAACATTTCTCCTAGTTTACACTTTTATTGTATGCAATTTTCCTTATATACACATTTCTGCAAACATTTTTGTATGTCATTTTTAGTAAAATGCACATTTTTATGCACTTCTTTTGGTTGGCGAACTGCACCACAAAATTCAAGGAAGTGCAAATTTCGGAAGATAGCTATGTGCCAGTTTGCATATTGCTTCAGGAAGTGCAAATGAAATAAGTCAGCCTTATATTGCAAACCAAACCAAACTTCTTACTCATCCCTAGTCCTCCCACAACACTAGTAAAGATACATACATATATGTATGTATTCATTTATACATTTACTCACCATATCAATTATTGCAATCACTTTAAAATCAAAGATAAATTACTTGTTTGGAATACTGCTGCAAAGCAGTTCTTAAGTGCTTAGCTCTTTCAGCAACCCAGAAATTAAAATCTAGCTTCTCAGTTTGTACTGATGTATTGATACGTATCCATTGATATGTTTTATGTTATGCAATTGTCCAAGCTCACTTGGTTAGAGCATGGTGCTGATAACGTCAAAGTTGAAGGTTCAATCCCCATATAGGACAACTGCACATTCCTGACTTGCAGGGGGCTGGACTAGATGATCCTCAGGGTCCCTCCCAACTCTACAATTCTCTGATTCATTGAAGTGGATTTTAAACAAATGAAAACAAAACCTGTTTCTAGCCATTTCAGTTCATGTCGAGATGACGTCTCTGTGCTCTGCTGCCGTTCTCTTTGCAAATCTAATCCAGCTTCCTTTTAAAGGGAATCATCTCGTCCTTCTCCCAATTCCATTCTTTGTTTATTGTAGACTATTATATATCATGGTTCTGTATTAGAGAGTTGGCAGTACTATTAAAAAACCCCACATGCTCTAATTCATGTAATGCTTCCACCCGTTTGCTTTTATGCCATAATGGAAGAAAAAGATTCTTGTTCCTCGTCTCATCTTTGAAGGTGGAAATCCCTAGAAACAAATCCCATTTGACATAGTAGGAATTACTTCCAAGTAAGTGTATACAAGGCATTGCACCATACATTGCTTTCTTTTCAGCAGTTGAAGAGCATAAGTCCATTGCCTCCAGTCCTCTCCAGAGTGAACCCCCTTTGGGTGCAGACCAGAATCATAGGCTGGAGAAGAGAAGAGAAGAGAAGAGAAGAGAAGAGAAGAGAAGAGAAGAGAAGAGGACTCTGTCATGCACGCCAGGTGAAAATGCAAGAACGAAAAAGTTCTCCCTCCCATCCCTATCATGAGTTGAGTCTTCTTGAAACCTTCCTCAGAAGATATTGATGCAGAGTTCTACAGTATTAGTGTTGTTTCCATATTTTGCCTAAAGGGAAATTTTGTTTTCTATTACTTTTTGAAGATGGCCCATGAATCCAACAAATGAAGACAAAAACTGCATTTGACACAAGAGGGGTTATCAGCTTGTTAAAAAGAAAGGAAATGGGTTACCATTCACGTATTTTAGAATAATTATAGTAAAGTTTGACATTTGCTAGTCTCTATAGCATCTACATAGCTCCCGTGAGCCAACCCAGAGCTTGATTCTACACCTTGACATGACACATTCCCACATTCTAGGAATCTGAGGGGAGTTTCCAGTATTTAGAGAAAGCAGCTCTAGTTGCCACTATCAAATTAGAAAGTAAGACTTTTTTGCCATTAGAAACTTGATCTTTTAAGTCAATTCCTAGGTTCCCAAAATGTTTTGCTCTCATAAAACAATAGCATGAGATATATATTTTTCCAACTTCCCAAGTCTACCAGCTACAGAGGACATCACTGTTAATTTTTGCAAATTTCACCAGAGATTGGAGATCTCATGGTTTATTCTTGGCACTTGGGCTGGTGTTTGATTCCATTGCACTATCGCAAGCATAGGCAACCTTGGCCCTCCAGATGTTTTGGGACTACATCTCCCATCATCCCTAGCTAATAGGACCAGTGGTCAGGGATGATGGGAATTGTAGTCCCAAAACATCTGGAGGGCTGAGTTTGCCTATGCCTGCACTATCGTCTTAAATAACTTTTAAAGTAGTGAAGAAGCTGCAGTATATGTGTTTATCTTTGTTTCAAGGTGAAACCATTCTTCCATCAGTCTGGTGACTGGGTTGCCCACCTGTTCGCATAATCTGGATTTTCTTAATCTAGATATAATAGGACCTGATATATTAGTGCTAACATCCTCTTAGTGACTGAGATCAGGAGGTGTTCAAAGCAGGCCTCTGTTGTCATTAAATTCATATCTTATCTGCCCCTACAAAATGTGGTGATTATGCAATTTTTCTTTACCTATTCATTTCAAAAGGTTGACCTCACATTTCTTGACAAAGTTGCTCGTATGGTTTTAGAGCTGGATGAGCCTGTCAAGTTTAGTTTCTGTAAATTTCTTTCTCTCCCCCTATTTTAAGTTCAATTCTCACAATTTCCACATCTGTTTGGATCGTACCCATTTTGTAAGCTTTTTGTGTGCATCCTTCCGCTAAACCGCCCATTTGTGTATGCTTTCCAATGGACCCCTCTCTCAAATATGAATTCATGTCCCTCCATAAATATGCAGTTTTTGTGTGAACTGAAACTGCATTGCAAAACTGAGAAGAGTGCATTATCTGATTGATAGATGCATCCCAATCTACATATAAATTTAGCACTGGGGGAGTTAGGTTGGTTTGCTTCAAAATGTAGACCAAACAAATTTCTCCTCCAACTCTCTTTTTGTCCAGTTGGGAGTTTGATGCTGTGGAAGAAATGTCTCTCACTGTGCACTGAGTGAAACTGACAATTGGATCTGGGAGTAGAGTTGCCGCTGCATTTTGCCTGCAGTGAAATTTTAAGGTGAAGCTGTGGAATTAAACGGGAAAGAGCTGTGGAATTGCACAGGAAAGGGGAAGAAAAGGATTAATGAAATGGCTCAGAGGAATCCCCCTCATCCTTAGCTCTTGCAATGTTATCAGGAAGTGCTACCACTATAATGCCTCTTGTTTACTTATGTTGCAACTTGTTCCTGCATGATGTATGGATGTTAACTTCTCAACCTCCGTTCTTGCCAAGAAACTGTCACTGGAAGCAGTTAGCATTAGCACAGCTAGCCAGTCAACAAGCATTCTTGTCTACTATAAATATAACAAACACAGGTTGAAGACCTCAAGCTTAATGCCTCACCATAGGTTATGGGGCTGCCTGGCCAGATAACAACAACAACAACAACAACAATTTATTATTTGTACCCCGCCCATCTGGCTGGGTTTCCCCAGCCACTCTGGGCGGCTTCCACAAAGACCAAAAATACACTAAGATGTCACACATTAAAAACTTCCCTAAAGAGGACTGCCTTCAGATGTCTTCTGAATGTCAGGTAGTTGTTTATCTCTTTGACATCTGATGGGAGGGCGTTCCACAGGGCGGGCACCGCTACCGAGAAGGCCCTCTGCCTGGTTCCCTGTAGCTTTGCTTCTCGCAATGAGGAAACCACCAGAAGGCCCTCGGCGCTGGATCTCAACGTCCGGGCAGAACGATGGGGGTGGAGACGCTCCTTCAGGTATACCGGGCCGAGGCCGTTTAGGGCTTTAAAGGTCAACACCAACACTTTGAATTGTGCTCGGAAATGTACTGGGAGCCAATGTAGGTCTTTCAAGACTGGTGTTATGTGGTCTTGGCAGCCACCCCCAGTCACCAGTCTAGCTGCCGCATTCTGGATTAGTTGTAGTTTCCGGGTCACCTTCAAAGGTAGCTCCACCTTCAAAGGTAGAGCGCATTGCAGTAGTCCAAGCGGGAGATAACTAGAACATGCACCACTCTGGTGATATAGTCCGCAGGCAGGTAGGGTCTCCGCCTGCGTACCAGATGGAGCTGGTAAACAGCTGCCCTGGACACAGAATTAACCTGCGCCTCCATGGACAGCTGTGAGTCCAAAATGACTGCCAGGCTGCGCACCTGGTCCTTCAGGGGCACCATTACCCCATTCAGGACCAGGGAGTCCTCCACACCAACCCGCCCCCTGTCCCCCAAAAACAGTACTTCTGTCTTGTCAGGATTCAACCTCAATCCATTAGCCACCATCCGTCCTCCAACCACCTCCAGACACTCACACAGGACCTTCACCACCTTCACTGGTTCTGATTTGAAAGAGAGGTAGAGCTGGGTATCATCTGCATATTGATGGACACCCAGATAGATGCAATATGGCAATGTCATGGGAACTGCTTCGTACCATGGGCCCAAAACAGATGAGGGGCACCACTGACTCTCCTGCCTAGATTAATCTGATCCTGGAATAAAATGTCTAACATTTTGCAACAGCTGAATTACATATTCTCTCCACCCAATTAGAGGTGATGAGGACAGATCCATGTGTTTAATCATGGAAGTGACCCATGGAGGAAGGACCTTGGCTTAGGGGCAGAGTATGTGCTATGGATGCAAAAGGTCACAGGTCCAACCCTTGGCTGGAAAAGACCCCTTTCTGAAACCCCAGAGATCCGCTACCAGTCAATTGTCAGGGACTGGCTGGACTCAGAGGAATGGTGGAAGGAACCAGCTGGGGAACCCCCAAGGGAAAAAAGCTCAGAGCCTGGGGATTGGTGGTGGGACAATGATGAGTGGTCAGCAGGAGAATACTGTGAGGAGAATGGGAGGAGGGAGACCAAGAGGCAGAGATAAGTCAAGCTGATGCAGAGTCATGGGTGTGTCTCCCCCTCCTGCTGCGAAAAGTTCCCATCCCTCCTTGTCTCCCAGAACCAGAAGAGGCATGAAAAGGGCAGAGGAGAGATTGGCTTCAGGCAAGCGCAGTCTCCAATTGCTTGGGAAAAGCCTTGGAGAGGAGGGGGACTTAGACAGCTGTGGGGACTCAGTCTCATCAACTGATGCATGGGGCAAAACCTACCAGGGATGAGCTGCTGTGCTCATTTGGTAGGCCTAACACTCTGCCAAGTTTGTGCAGATCTTGTTCATGCTAATAAAGAGTTAACTCAAACTTGAAAGGTGTGATTTACGGCCAGCTCGCTCCTGTCGTCAGTATAGCCAGCATCGAATCAGATGGACCAATGGACTGACACTTTAAAACTCCATTTCTGCACTTCATTTAGAAAATGGTGGTGGGGATTTCATTTCAAGAACAAACGAGGTGAGCAGCTCAGGGAACGAAAAGGAATGCTAAACCTTCCCAGCAATGTGCCCCTTGACACAACTTTTCCCTCAGCCAAACTCCGATGCAAGAAGCAAGCCCTGCTTGCAGAAAAACATTTGGGGAGAGAGGCAACATGGGATGAATGGTTTAGCACTATTTGCTATCACACCCACTTTGCCCTTAAAATTGGAACAATCCTTCACCTTGCATTTGATTGGGGCAAAAGGATCTGCTACAATCATGTCTAGCTTGGCCCTCAGTCAAAGCAGTCAGATTTCTTGGTTTCCTTTAGGGGCCAAACTAGATTGTACATAAAAGGCATGGTTGCCTTTCATATTTCTGTTTGGTGGTTGTTTTAGAAAACACAACTGTAGTGTGTGTGTGTGTGTGTGTGTGTGTGTGTGAGAGAGAGAGAGAGAGAGAGAGAGAGAGAGAGAGAGAGATTAGGACTGAAATCATGGTGCTCAGTGAGTGTTTTTTCCTAACCTTTCCCCCTTATGCTGATGAAAATCACCAAACAAAACTATTTCCCGTCTTGATTTTTTATATTGAATGGGAGCAGACAGAGAAATAAGCAACCAAAACATGGCTCTGACGTTGCATAATGAGTTGTTTGCTTTGTTCATCCACACACCATGTGTATGACAGGAATAATTTTCTGTTTTCTAACAAAGTTCTATCCCATCCAAATTCTCTTGGCTTCTACCTCCCGCCATCTGGCAGAGGTTTATAGAAAACTCCATCAGGTCCTGAATGCTTGTGCTCTAAGTGGCACTGAGCAGATCAAGGACGGATAGATATCCTGCTGCTGAATTCCTTTATAGCATCCTTCGCCAACCTGGTGCCCTCCAGGATGTTTAGAACTACAACTCCCATCAGCCCACACTTTTGTATTCTGAATGTGTGAAAACAGAAACATGGAGGGTTGTTTCACACGTTGCATTCCATGCTGTGAACAAGGCTATCTGAAGCAAATTTCTTCATAACCAAAAGTGGAACCTCCTTCCAAGGCGAGCCTGAATCCAGCCAACATAGCTGTCTGTTCCAGGATATACCAGGCAATACCAAATCCTTGTAGCAAATTTGCATAGGTACAGGACTGCCATGAAAATGTGGGAAGACCCTTGTCTTATTCATGGGTCTTCCCACATTGCTGTAGTGATATTTAAAGACTTTCAAGCACAGCCCTTTTGAAATCTTAACTGCATCCACATAAAGGGTGATTGGGATTATGCTGGTTGCCCACCCCTGTATATCAACTGTACATTCAGTTGATGAGGTACCAGTTGATCAGGAGAAATAGCAGAGATGGGTCCAACACAGAAGCTAACACCAAAAGCTAACACAACAGAACTTTTCCCAACTCCCCTCTTGCTTTATTGAAACCACTTTTCCCATCAACGTGCTGCCCTCACTTGCTCTGCTCAAACTTCGGCCATAATTTAAAACCACTCTTTTCTTCCCATTGTCTCTCTCCGCTTGATCTTAAAAAACCCACCATTTCCCTGCCAGTGTTTCTGCATTTTGGTTTGATCAATTCAAACTTCTACCATTAGAATTTTAGCATTAGCTGTTTTTGCAGCTGCATCACACTGTCGACTCATGCTAAGCTTGTCTGCTACGACCCTAGACCCTTTTCACATGTACTACTGGCAATCCAGGTGTCCGGCATCTTATATTTGTGCAAAAAGCTGTCGAAAGCAGTGGATGGGTGATGTTTTATGTATGGCAGAGGGGCGAGCATTCCACAGTGCAGGGGTAATGTCAGGAAATGTGCATTTTCAAGTCAACCTCCCCATTTTGTGATATTCTGTAGGCTTCGGTGCTGCGAGTAAAATTTTCCCACAGGCACTATATCCTCCATCTAGGAAAGATAAATAGCCAGGCGTGCCACCCCCCCCAAAAAAAACCCAAATCCAAAATGGGATAGTGGTTCCTTTGGCCTGTAGCTATCTTCTCTGGGAAGAGAGAGATGGAGGCTGTATCTGCAGCCCTTGCCTCAGGGTTCTGTGTGGCCAGGTTTGGGCTAATGGGGAGCCACAGACCAAAAGAGGTTGAAGATTACTGGTCAAGGTTGAGGGTGGTTTTAGCTTCTGCCATGAGCTCTCCGAAATCAGCAAGCACAGAGGCTCCTGAAGATGAGTGTAGCTGGTTTCACATGCTGGCAGACTGAGTGTTTATTTTACCCTGCCTGTAATGAACTCCATTCGCCTGCACTTCCTGCATTTTTAAAATCACATCAATATGGTTGCTGTTTCCTTTTGAAAACTGAGTGTTACAGAGCCACAAGGTCAAATTTTGATCAGTCTTGTTCTCGTAGAAACTGCACAAGTAGATGTCAAAGGAACAACTCCAAGTTTATAAAGAAGTCTCCCCAGGGTTTTCCCCCACTCTGCAGATTGCTGGCATCCTGAACTCATTTGTTCCTTTACTACTTAACCATAAAGGGTTTAGTCTTTCAAGGTGCTGTTTGCATCCGGTGAATGACATAAGTATGTATGAATTTTAAGCACGAGGAGGTCTGTGGAAGTTCATTTTCTCAAAGCTTAAGCATTTGCTTTATCCTTTACTTAGATGAGGAATTGAGTTTTAATATGTACCAGAATGAGCTCCAAAAACATTGCATCAGTTTTTCAGTAATTCTGAGATCTCAGGAAAGTGTTTGCTAAAAATTATTCCAGCCGCTCCATCTCTTTCCTTGGATTCCTTTTTCTTGAAGAACTGAAACAGGAACAATGTAGAGGAATTCCTGTATATATATG